CATTTTTATGCGTTTTTGCCGTGCAGCGTTATAGCGGCAACGCTATAGCGCTGCACGGCAAAAACGCATAAAAATGGTGGAAATTATACAGTATTCCGTTATCGAGTTGGCAGTAATGTACCTCGGTAAGACATTTATCCACCAAAAACCCAGGCTGGAACGCGGATTTTTAGTGCTACGGTGTTATCTGGCCGTAGTGCTCTGCATATTGTGATATACAATCTAGACAACGGAGCGTTCTGTTCGAAGAAATTTGAAGTGGGGCTGAAGTAAGCAATGCTCCTGTCGCCTCAGTTCAACTCACATTTGAATGTGACTCGCGAGGCGTGATGAATGCGCCAATTACGTACAGCCCGGAAAGTGACGTAACTCTAGACAGCGCAACGTACAGTAAAGCCCGAGTTCTTAGTTTAGATTACTTTAAAGAAAAAAAAAGATCAGCTGCGCATAAGAGGTTTGTGAGCTTAGTGCATACACGCAGTTGTGCATGCGATAAATTCTCGGGATTCAAAATGCCGGGGATGCCCTCATGGCAGTATATTGTAGAGCAGTGCTCGGTCGGTCACTGCATTTCCCTCACGTAACATTTACGTTTGCTTAGCACGGTCGTGCTCGTTCATTTTGTTTGAATGGTGGAATCCGTTTGTTCGTTGTTTTCTTTCGTTTATTCATCTGTGCGGTTGTTTGTTCAGTTTGAACAGGGTTTACGTTCTGAAGAGTGCTGCTGGACGTGGTGCGGTAAAGCGTGGTGCAAGTCGTGAGAGCGGGGGCAGGGAGGACGATTTTAGCTTTCCAAGTTTTTCTCCCACTTCTATTGCTTACGACTATTACGTGCATCTGGCACAGCAGAAACAGCCTGCTGTATGCTACTGTTGTATTTCTAGATACACTATGCTTTGATTTCTTCCGACATGTAGGAGAAAGGGCGTCAGTTGGGATGAAGGCATTATAGGGCCGCATGGATCATAAGGTACATGATTACCGGTTTTTTATGCGTTTTTGCATATATGTAAATTGCAAAAACGCATATTGGGAAGAG